CACCGTGTGGGACCAGGGACAGCCAGGGATGCTGCCCTTGGAGCACCATGTGGGATCAGGCACGGTGGGAGAGATGCTGCCCTTGGAGCCGATATCTCACCCCAGTCCTGGAGCTGGAGCTGCCAGTGGGACACAGAGAGAGCAGCCCCAGGGCCGTGCTCATGGAGGAGGTGCCGGGCACCTCTGTCCTGGTGCTCTGAGCCCGCTGCCCTCACGTGCCACTTGCTGGAAGGGCTGAGGAGGGACAGAAGGGTCCAGGATCCCATCCAGCCCCATCCCCTGGAGGTTCAGGGCTGAGTGTCCCACCTCGGGGGGCCGGGGCTGCCCTGGGCTCTGCAGGTCTGCAACATCTCCTCTGAGTCCATCCCTGAGCCTCGGGGGAACATCTTCTCCTCCTCTACCTGGGCCAAGTTCCAGCACCGGGTTCTCAGTTCCAGCACCGAGAGCCCCCGTGGCTCAGGACCCTGGCTTGGGCTGTGCCCAGGCTGTCTCCTGGGGCTGGTGATGCCCTCCTGGCTCCGTGCTGTGGCTCCACGGAGGGGCCTCGGCCTCAGCCCCCCGTGTCCTCTCCCGCAGGTCTTCACCCGCTACGGGAAGTGCTACACCTTCAACGCGGGGCAGGACGGGAAGCCCCGGCTCATCACCATGAAGGGGGGCACCGGCAACGGCCTGGAGATCATGCTGGACATCCAGCAGGACGAGTATCTGCCCGTGTGGGGGGAAACAGGTAACCCCACGGCCCCCCAGCAGGTCACCAGCAGCTCCTGGGGTGCTCCCCCGGCCCCTTCCCGGCTCCCCACGTCCCTGAGGCTCCCTCCTCCTCCTCCCTCCTTCCATTTCTGGCCGCTTCAGGTCCTTTCTTTCCCCTCTCCCTTCCCCTCCTTTGTCTTTGCTCTTCGCCATGGCAACTCCCCGGTGGTTTAGACACGCAGCCATCCCTTGTTTATAAATAGAGGCAAAACACTTCCCTGCGGAGAGCGGGAGGGTCAGGGGCGGGGAGGGGGGCAAGGACGTGGTGCAGCAAACAGGTTGGATGGACGGCAAACAGATGGATGGACACGTGGAGGGACCAACTGGCCCCGGGGGGGAGCGTGGGAGGCAGAAGTTTTGGGAGCAGGGACAGCACCCGGCTCATCCCTCCCTCTCTCCTCTGCAGACGAGACCTCGTTCGAAGCCGGGATCAAGGTGCAGATCCACAGCCAGGACGAGCCCCCCCTGATCGACCAGTTGGGCTTCGGGGTGGCCCCCGGATTCCAGACCTTCGTGTCCTGCCAGGAGCAGCGGGTAGAGCTTGGGAGGGGGGTTTGGGGTTCTCCCTCCTGACACGGAGCCTGTTGGACGGAGAGGGGACCTGATGCCTGCTCAGCTGGTGCTTAGAAAAAATCTAGGAGCTGTTAGTTGGGGTGAGATAAGAAAGGGTTTAATTGTGCCAAGGCAAGAGATGTTACACGACGCGCCCCGGGCTGTGCCCGGGATGTTACATTTATAACAATATCTGGCCAATCCCAAGTGTGTCCATCCTCTGACTTTTGGCCTGGTCCACCCCCTGGCCCACCTCCTGGAATTGGGTCGGGGGGCTTTTGGGACCCCCTCTTCATCCTCCTTCATCATCTTCGGGGTACAAAGGGCAGAGTCACCCAGTTCTTTGACTCTGTCCTGCAGTTTAGGCCAAGATACAAGTGTTCTCCAAACAAGACAGGCTTGCCTTGACTAAGAGACAAAACATTTTCTACTGGATATGGGAATAGGGTTGATATGGGGGGTATGGAATGGGGTAAGAGGATTAAGGAATGTATAAACTAAGGGGTGCTAGGGGAGGAGGGAGAAAGGGTTGTTTCTAAAATCTACTTCTATTACTTATAAAACTTATAAGGTAGAAAAATAAGAAAACCATTATGGGCTTAAGGCATCAACCAGACCCTGGGGTGCGATGCCACGAGGGTCTTTCCCCGTGCTGGAGGCTTCTCTCCTCACTCGTGGTTTCTTCTTCTCCCCCCTCCCAGCTCATCTACCTTCCCCCTCCCTGGGGCGACTGCAAGGCCGTGGCGGGCGACCTGGAGTTCTACGACACATACAGCATCACTGCCTGCAGGATCGACTGCGAGACCCGGTACCTGGTGGAGAACTGCAACTGCCGCATGGTTCACATGCCGGGTGAGACCCTCTGTTATGGTTTGGAGCTGGCTCCCCTGCTAAGTCTCTAAACCTTACCACAAGGAGTCCCCCACCCCACTCCAAACCGAGGGAGAAGAGGGGGAAAAAAAAAAAAACGAAAGAACCAAAAATGAGAGAGAGACAAATAAACAAATAAATATATATATATATATAAAAATATATAAATATATATATATAAAAATATTTTTACACTTATATTTACAGTTATATACAGTTTATACAGTTGAAATATATATATAATTTCACAGGGAAAAAGGGAAAGGGGAAGGGAAGAACAAAACCCAAAAATAATATATATATATATATATATAATCCCGATCCGTAGCCCCAGGTCTATCAAGTAAAAGAATTAACAAAGAATATCTTACTACTCTCCTTGGGACAAGGGAGAGTCACGCTGGGGTGACTGGTGACTGCCGGCAGCCTCCGCCTCCCAAGGTCGACAAGGCCTCACCAGGCCTCACTCCCCAACCCCACAGACTCAACACAGGGAGATCTGCACCTCCAAAGCCACTGGAAGGAAAGAGAGCGAAGGTCTTTCCTCCCTTCTTCTTATACCCCGGCTTACGTAAAAATCGTAGGGAATACCGGGTAAATCTGGGCACTTCCTTGGTTACAAGCTGGTCACCAAGGAAGGCCTAGGCCAAACTACCACACCCTCCCTGAGCCAGGGCCGGGGCCAAAATCCCCTTCCCAGCTCGGCCCACGGGGATGATCCCACCTGGACACCGAGCTGGGGGGAGTGGGGATCGGCTGGAGGGCAGGAGGGATCTGTGGAGGGATCTGGAGGGGTTGGATCCATGGGATGATCCCAAGGGGATGAGGTTCCACCAGGCCAAGGGCCGGGTCCTGCCCTTTGGCCACTGGGCTGGGGACAGAGGGGCTGGAGAGCAGCCAGGCAGGAAGGGAGCTGGGATTTGGGATGGACAGGGAGCTGAACAGGAGCCAGAGTGTGCCCAGGGGGACAAGAGGCCGATGGATCCTGGCCTGGCTCAGGAACAGTGTGGGAAATGATTCCTCCCCTGGACTCAGCACTGGTGAGGCCACCCCTGGAGTGCTGTGTCCAGCTCTGGGCCCTCAGCTCAGGAAGGACATTGAGGTCCTGGAGCAGGTCCAGAGGAGAGCAACGAGGCTGGGGAAGGGACTGGAGCACAAGTGCTGTGAGGAGAGGCTGAGGGAGCTGGGGGGGCTCAGCCTGGAGAAGAGGAGGCTCAGGGGAGACCTCCTCACTCTCTGCAACTCCCTGACAGGAGGGGGGAGCCAGGGGGGGGTTTGTCTCTTTTCCCAAGACAAGAGGGCTCGGGGTCTTCAGCTGTGCCAGGGGAGGTTTAGGTTGGATATCAGGAAGAATTTCTTTCCAGAGAGGGTGATCAGCCATTGGAATGGGCTGCCCAGGGAGGGGGTGGATTCTCCATCCCTGGAGGTGTTTAAGGACAGACTGGATGTGGCATCAGTGCCATGGGCTGGGAACCACGGCGGGGTTGGATCAAGGGTTGGACTGGATGATCTGGGAGGTCCCTTCCAACCCAGCCGATCCTGTGATTCTATGATTCTGTGATTCTGTGACTCTATGATTCTATGAGAACCCCTTTCTGTGTGTCTCCGCAGGTGATGCCCCGTACTGCACCCCTGAGCAGTACAAGGAGTGCGCAGACCCCGCCTTAGGTGAGGCTCGGGAGGGAGGGAGGGAGGGAGGAAGGAAAGGAGGGAGCTGCGGGCGTTGGGTTTCTCTCCCCAGCTCCCCAAACCCCCTCTCTCTCTCTCCCCCTTCCCAGATTTCCTGGTGGAGAAGGACAACGAGTACTGCCTGTGCGACATGCCCTGCAACATGACCCGCTACGGCAAAGAGCTCTCCATGGTCAAGATCCCCAGCAAGGCCTCGGCCAAGTACCTGGCCAAGAAGTACAACAAGTCGGAGCAGTACATCGGGTAACGTGGCCGTGGGCAGAGGGGGTGGCATCGGTGCCGCTCCCCATCCCAAAACCTCAGCCCGGTGCCACTTTTGTGCCCTGCGCAGGGAGAACATCCTGGTGCTGGACATCTTCTTTGAGGCCCTCAACTACGAGACCATCGAGCAGAAGAAGGCGTACGAGGTGGCCGGTTTGCTGGGTGAGTGCCAGGGGCTGGGCCAGTGACCCCCCAACGAGGTGGCCGGTTTGCTGGGTGAGTTTCTGGGGGGGGCTGCACATCCCAGTTTCCCCCCCCCAGCAAGATGGTCTCATGTTGGCCCCGTTCCCCAGTGCGCTGGTTTAAAGGTAAACCAAGCAGGGGAAATGAACTCAACTCGAAAGAGAGATTACAAGTCAGAATAACAATTTAATAAAATAATATGATAAGTACAATTATACAGGCAGACAATTGGTTTTAACCCACAAAACCCAAATGTACAACCCAGCACCACGAGGCAGGAACAGAGTGGTGTTCCTTGGGCCCCCCTTAGTCCAAAGTGAAGAGAGAGGGGAAAAAACCTGTTGGTGGGAGAGCGTTGGAGTCTGGTCAAGAGTGGTGGTTGCAGTCTGGTTGAGAGTGGTGAGCTGCAGTTTTCCTCTGGATCCCACGAGTGGTTAAAAAGGTTCCAAGACTCCAAGTTTATATATCCTCCAGTTCAGGCAGGAATGCTCAGTACTCCCCTCAGGGTGGGGAATTCCACAAAAGGGTGTGAGGACAGGAACATCTTCCTATCTCTGAACACCCAGTTTAGAGCCTGAGGGGTCAGGGCTGCTCTGGGCAGAGGGTGTAAATGCTCTATTGACAACAATTTCTGGGAAATGGCCTGGAAGGCTCTGGAATACACAGGTTTGAGTTACACCCATCCCATGATGAACTGGTCCCGGTTGTTCTAACCAGGACACCGAGGCACTGGGATGTGCCCACAGTGGGGATGTGGAGCAGGACGAGTTGTGACGAGTTCTGTGCCCTTTCCCCGCTCCCTCTGCCATCAGACTCCAAGCTCAGGCCACCCCTGATGTGTTTCCCTGTCCCCTGCAGGTGACATCGGGGGGCAGATGGGGCTGTTCATCGGGGCCAGCATCCTCACAGTGCTGGAGCTCTTCGACTACGCCTACGAGGTGAGCACCTCCCTCACCCCACCCTGGTTACCCTGGAGCACCCCGAGCGGCCCCAGAGCCCCAGGGGTCACCCCAGAGCCCCGTTTGGGGTGTGGGGAAGGGCCACCACCCCCTGAGCCTCCATGGGGCTGAAATGTTGCCCAAATGTGGCCCCGGCAGGTGATAAAGCACCGGCTGTGCCGGAGGGGGAAGTGCCGCAAGAACCACAAGAGGAACAACACGGACAAGGGCGTCGCGCTCAGCATGGACGACGTCAAGCGCCACGTGAGTGTCGGGGACAACCCCGGGGGGGTGTTGGGGACATCCTGAGGGCTGCTGGGGACACCCTGGGGGCTGCTGAGCCCCTCTGCAGCTCGGGGGCTGCCTGGGAGGAGCCCCTGGGTGTGGGGTCACTGTTTTGGGGCTGCCTGAGAGTTGCTGTGGGGTGTGGGGTCACTGTTTTGGGGCTGTGGGGTGTGGGGTCACTGTTTTGGGGCTGT